GTGTGATATCCTTTGATGTGAGGGGTGAGGTGTTGTAACATGTAGGTGTGATATTCCCCCTTGTAGTAGATCATTTGTTGTCTAATCTAATTAGCCTTTGATGTCTGCCCCTTTGTTGTCTAATCTAATTAGCCCTTTGATGTGAGGGGTGAGGTGTTGTAACATGTAGGTGTGATATTCCCCCTTGTAGTAGATCCTTTGTTGTCTAATCTAATTACCCTTTGATGTCTGTCCTTTGTTGTGAGGGTGGTGAGGTGTTGTAACATGTAGGTGTGATATCACACCGACGTGTTATAAGCCTTTGATGTCAATCTAATTAGCCCTTTGATGTCAGTCCTTTGATGTAAGGTGGGTGAGGTGTTATAACATGCCGGTGTGATATCGCACCGGCGTGTTATAAGCCTTTGATGTCAATCTAATTAGCCCTTGAAGTCAATCTAATTAGCCCTTTGATGTATGTCCTTTGATCAGTGTTTGTAACTAGTATTAAGACAGTCTCTTTGAAGTTGTGTGAGACTGTCTCGCACCCCGTCCTCCTCCCACCCCCGTCCCCCTCTCACCTCTTCTGTCACCCCCCTTCCTTTAGCTGTGATGTCAGAAGATAGAGGTGGGGGTGGAGTTAGGTAAAAAAGGAATCCGTGCAAACTAGATAAAAAGCCATTCATTTCCACTCACCAAGTCACCTAAACTTTCAAAAACGAAAATGGCAAAGAGACGCATCGATATGGGTTTAATCAGCGAGACGCCTGTGACAACTTACCGCCATCCGTCGGGAGCGCCAGTCAAGAAACGGATGCAGTATCTGTGCCGTGTTCAAACCCCTCCGTCTGAGGCTCTTCATGAAAAATGGAGTCTGGATGTGTGAGACTGCCTCCCCTCCCCCCCCCCCCCCCCCCTCCCCTCCCCCAGCCGGTCACCTCCTGATCAGCCATTGATTTTCACTCACCAAGTCACCTAACACTTTTATTGTCCTCTCTAAATTAGATTAGTTTTAATATGATTTGTGTTAACTATGGATGTTCTCTTAAGTTGTATGGCTTGTGAACTAATGTTTAATTATTTTACTAACTACAACAAAGTCTCTTTGAGAGGAAATAATAATTTAATACTTAATCCCCCTTGACCTTGTAATGTTTAATTACTTCACACAACTATTAAAGAATCCCTGTATGATGTTACATGAGGCTGTTTGGAGTAATATTAGAATTAGCTGTATGTAGCAAAAAAGAATAGTTTTTTAAATGTTTTTCTCTCATCCTGCTATGTCCCTTCCGGGGGCAGGATCCCTGAGGATTGATCAGAGCAAAATTTCTTTCATGTTATTTTAACACAACATTACTTTTTTCATATTTTTCAACATACTGTGATATTTGTTTTTCTCTCCTTTTTCCATTATTTTTGAATATACAGTGATTTTATCAAAATACAATATGCAACTATACATTATACACTATTACAGTTTCTGATCATTTTAAGTTTTCAAGTTTCAAGGCTTTATGGCATATGCCCATTAGCTACAGTGTAGATATGTCAATGAAAAACATAGGTCACAGGCTCCTCCAACAGTGCAACAAATATATATATATATATATACATATAGAGCACATAAAACAGATAAAATACTGCAATAGAATGTTTTGATATGACAGATTTGTGCGTAATTCTCTCACAAAGGAACTGTAAGATACACGTTTATGTATGGAAAACTTTATAACTTGGTAAAATATTCATTCATTGTAATGAATTACTTGACTAACATTACTTTTTTTAAATATATGTTTTTAGATGCTTTACTTTTGATTTCTTTCATGTTATTTTAACACAACATTACTTTTTTCATATTTTTCAACATACTGTGATATTTGTTTTTTCTCTCCTTTTTCCATTATATTTTTGAATATACAGTGATTTTTATCAAAATACAACATGCAACTATTACATTATACAATATTACGACTTTTTGCGATATTTTCAACACAATATATTTTTTGTAGGGCTTCAGGATATTTGGCATGTCATGCATAAAACCGGTGTCATCTTTCCTGAAACTGACGTGCTGTCCGTTTTACAAACAAGTTATCTTTCTGCTTCTTCACCCTCTGAATTTTCCTCCCCCGTCCCTCTTCCTTCAGCCATCACAACAACAATCAAGTCAGATCTGTGAAATTAAACACCTCTTCCCAAAGCGTGACTTCCCTATTGAGGGAGTGGGGCAGTAGGGCCTAACCCGATTGGCCAAATATACTAACATGCAGAACGTATGGTATGTTTGAAAAAAGACTAACCATCTATCCAGTTCAAGCTGTCTTTAAGATGTGACATCGCGCTCTGACTTTTTCCCGTAAAATCGTGACAAACTATTACTTATTCTTAAATTTGACCTCTTGCTGCTTGGTTGAAAATGATAGATGAAAAATAACTTTTTTAAAAGAGTCAAACAGCGAGGGACATTATACGGGTGAAAGAAACTCTCATTTCTACAGATGACTCCCCCCATTCAACGCAATAAGTCCCACCCCACTCAGCAAATCATCCAAAACTAAGGACCTCACTAAGACGACCGTTGAAAACGAGCCATGGATCTGAGAAAAACCAAGTCTGCTGTAGCCTACCCTTATTATCACCAGGATAACGGATATGGGCTTAATGAATGGATGTTACAAAGTAAGGGAGAGGATGTTCCAGAAGAAGAGCTTTCCTCTATATCATATCCATGTAAGGTCTTTAGGACAAAAGAGGACTATGATAAAATGACATATGAAGAATATCTTTCTTTAAAAGATAGTATTATAGATAACCTTTATAGAAACAATATATCTCATACAACTTGCTAAGATCGCAAATGAGAATTAGCAGAAAAGAAAAGCAAAAGTAAAGAAAACCGAAGAAAAAGAAAAAGCAAAATGAAAAGGAGAAGAAAAATTAAAAGCAAACGCAGAATGCGAATGAAAAGAAAAGGGACAATAGGACGGAAAAAGACAAAAAGAAGGAAGGTGAAAAGAAAAAGGAACAAAGTGAAGAAATTTCAACTAACTATAGAGGATGCTGATAGTGTTGTAGAGCCATTACCGGATCATAATAATCTTATAGATCATCTACCGCTAACCGACTGCTGCGAATGTGTTGAACAAATACCAAAAGCAATGGCAGAGCTTTGCTTCAATATAATGAGAGAAAAAGCACGATACTATGGAATTGCCCAAATTGGCGACAGCGCCAGAACATGTATTAAAAGACTGTTGGAGGATCTCTATTCTAGTATCGGTTGTCATTACAGCGAAGGATATGCCAAAACGTGTGACGACATAGACAAAGCTTTTGAAGACAATTATATGGTACCCGTCCTTACAGCTAAACAAATCCTATGCCAGGTATTCAACAGACCACAAGAAGCACAAGAAGCCCCAGAAAGGATTACATTCAGAGCTAATAATGGTGAAACCGAAGAAGAAGCAAAGCCGATTATAATCGTTGCGGGTGAAAGGATAGAGAATTTGCAATTGATGTTAATGCACTTATCTGATATAAAAAATGCATTCATTTACTTCCAAGAGACCCCTAAACATCTACTTGGGCAATGTGAATTGAACGATAAACCAATCACTGTAAATGAAACGCGGAGAGAAGCAGCAGTGCAAATCCTTAAGTCTATTACCTTGTATGCACTACGAAATTAACTTGGTCAAATGTAATATGTCTTTCTGAAAATGTGGCGAATGGTGTGTTTTTCAATTAAACAACCATAACAAAATGAAAATGTGTTTTATTTTTTGCTTTCATATATAGTAATAGTATTAACTCCTCTGACTAGACTGTACTAAAATAAGACGTTTCACTGTTAAATAAAAATGGAAGTAGAAAATCGAGATAATGATGAGGTTCGTTATGTATCCAGTAACTATGAACAGCAGTTGAAAATGTTATTTAACCCTTTAACTCTTGACAAATCTAAAATAGCCTCTAGCTTATCTATAAGTTTGTGATTTTAACACTTATTCACTGACACAAGGCAGATTTTGGCTTTTCTCTGCAACTTTGACACATTGAGGTGCACTGAAAATGAAGTTTGTCTGATTTTTTTTCTTTAAAGACTGTTTCTCTAAAAGGCAAGTTGTGCTTTTAACCTATTTAC